GCAATGGTACTTTCTACTTTTCGCCACAAAAGCAGCTTTTCTTGTGTACCTTTATGTGCGTGAAAAATGAAATCGAATGACCTATACTTGATGTGTTTTTTTGTCACTTCGATCATTGACCAAAAAAGTCGGCGATTCGACATCGAATAATGGAAAAAATAACTTCCTAGAAAATCGAACTTGCTGATGGCTTGTTTATTTTGGTAACCTAGGTTAAAAACAGCAGATAAATATATAATATACGAAATTTATTTTTTTGATTTTTGCTGAAGAGGCCAAGATCGAATTTGTTTTTTTGTCAAACACCGTTTTCAAAAGATAGACTGTATAAGTCGTCTCTCCACATCTCTTGTTAACATCGATTTCTACTAACTAAATGGCAATAATCTTTCTAGAATTTATTATTCTAATGATTCTCTTTGAAACAACAAGTAACCGGGTTTTCTTTTTTTTAAAGTCTACACTTTGCTAAATTCGTCTCCAAATGTCTTTCGAACGAATTGTTTTTTTTACTGAAAACATTTTCATATAGAAAAATATGATATGAATAGATTTTAAAATAAGCAAACTTGTACAAAAAATACTTATGCTTATTACAAGAAAAGAAAAACGAATCAAGTACTGATCGACACATGAATAGAACAATGCATAAAATCTAAATTTAAACAACAAAAAGTGAAGAAAAACAAACATCACACAAAACACAACAAGAAAAACTAAAACAGAATAACATTTTCAAAGATTTTCAAACATCAATAATATAAAAAACAACAACATAAAAGTATGAGAAATTGTGAATAGAAGAAATAAAACATGCTCATGATCCAAATTCGAGAGTATTTTCATCAATACGTTTAAATTCATATTTACCCCGCCCATCCATATACAAACAATACTAGAATAAAAATAAGGATGATTAATGTAATAAAAATAGTTTCATGACTTACTTCATGATGTTTCCATAATGACTTTCTGTGAGATACAGTAAATAGTGTGATACCCACCTAGAATTAATGAGAAAACATTACATTGATTATATGTTAAAGATTTATTTCTTACCGTTTTACAATATTCATACATATTTGCTTCAACATCTACCGATACAGCACTTGTACATTCATCGAGAATTGCAAATTGTGGCTCTAAATCATAATTATTACATGAAAAACAATTTATTTCATAAATTTTTTTATCTATTTACTTGAATAAAATACTCGAGCCATAGCAATTCTTTGCTTTTCTGAAAACAAAAAAAAAACAAAAAAAAAAATGAACACTTCTCGAATGACCAATTTTAATTTAGTTTACCTCCGCCGCTCAATACATCCATCCAATCTTGTGTTGCATCAAATCCACCTTCACGCTGTAGTATGTAAGTTAATTGAACTTCTTCTAACAATTTTAATAAATCTTTATCTGTTAGACCTCGACGTCGCATATCGTCTCTGGAATCTGGATAGATTATTTGATCACGTAACGTTCCAATTGTCATGTATGGCTTCTAAATGCAAAGAGAAACAACTATATACCATTGATTAATAGCAAGTAGCAAGAAATTTTAATGCAAGAATATCATCTTTTTAATTAATTTTCTGTCTGTACAAAAATACTTTCGATTGTCATCACATCAACTTACTTGTGGAATATAAAATAATTGTCCCGCACTGGGCTTTGTAAGAACACCACCGTAAACTGGCCATAACTTTAAAAGGAAAATAGAAAAATATGAATATTCGTCTGACATTAATGGTTTCTCTACTCACTTCTCCAACTGTTCGAAATAAACTCGATTTTCCGCAACCATTCTGAAGTAAATGAAATAAATATTTTTCATATATATTGTTTAACAGATACAATTTACCGGTCCACAAACAATAACATTTTGACCAGATCTGACTGTAAAATTGAGACTTTCAATTAAAATATCACCCTATAAAAATAAATTTAAATATTAGAATTTTTTAATCAAATAATCTTTTACAACTAACATTTGGAGTAATTAACGGAACATTTTCAAATCTAAAATGTAATGATAAATATTAATAATGATTAGTATATTATTAAAAATATGTACTATAAATAACATACTTAATAATTCGATCTTGTAATTGTATTTTGCCCATGTCCGGTTTTGGTTGAATACTATTTTGATTATTATTATTATTATTATTTATGGTAGCATTACTAATCATTGTTCTAACATATTTTCCTTGATTAATATCACGTAAAACGGTCATCAATTCGATGACACGCGTTGTATATCTAAAATGAAAATAAAAGAAATGAAAGAGAACTATTTTGAATATGTGAAAACTATATGTTTTTTGTTTTTTTTAATAATAATATCTCACTTACAGCTAGAAAAATAACGTACCCTGCTAATTTGGTCATTTCTCTTCCAGCTAAAACCAGTCTGCCAACAGCTTCAGCCATTTTCACTAACATTCGACCCGACGTATAGTAATCCTACATATGACAAAAGTTCATGTGAGCTCAATTATCTCCACTAGAAAATTTATTTTAATAAACTGGAAATAATCTTATTGCTGTTGTAACTAGCTTTAACGCATTCTTCGTGGGGTTTATAATATCGTATAGAGACAAAAGGTAATGATTTAAACACTAAGTCGAATATACTTACTTCTAGTATGTCACTTTGAGAGGCATTCGCATATTTGTTATCTGCAAGATTTAAAAATGGTCTTGAAACAACATAGTAGCCAACACATGTTGACACATCTAAAGCATAATGAGACGAGAGATAGTTAAAATCAGTCATAAAACGTTCGTATACTAACATTTAGCAACAATATTATCAATGAAGCCCATTGATACGCGAAATATAATAAAACTACGTAAATGTTTAATCTAAATGATAAAAATAGACTCTATAAATTAATTTAATTAAATAATTTATACAATTTACCAAACGATCGAAACTATCACGAATATTCATTTGTTCACGTCTGTTTCCTTTATAAAATGCAATTTCTTCGCTAGACGCAAAAAGACAAAATATATTACTTTCTTAAAAATCTAATATTCAGTTTGCTACACTCTCGATACGAATGAAGATAATTATCTGAATACTATTCTGGAAATGTTTTAATTTTTTTTCTTTTGAATAAGATTTTTTTCTTACCAATTTGTTATTAATCTGGAATTGACATAACGAAATTCACCTTCAAACTGTTGTTCGGTAACGGTCATTGAACCGACAGGTCGTCGTAATCTGAAATAAATTGAAGTTAAAGTTATGTTTTCATGTAGCAATCGAGTAAATAATAACCTTGTTAAAATAAATCCGGAGAATAAAAGATAAAGAATCATATACGATGGACCAGTAGGACCAATTGAAGTAGTGAGCTTTTTTGAGAAAATGATTATATCTAAAAATGGCTGAAATAAATCGACAACTTATTATTATTTTTTTCTTCAAAAGTGCATTATTATTTACCTTGCTGACATTTGTATATAAATCAGCAATACATGTTGAAAATTTTTCAACATCTTGTGTTAATAATTGATCGACATTAGCTATTCGACTATCCAAATTATTTAATTGATAATATGTAAAACCTCTAGAAAAAAATAGTAATACACAAAATATATGATAAACATACAACTAAAACCAAAATATTACTTTAAATATTGATCATACAAATATTTTGTTAACCGACAACGAAATCGCAGTTTTAATTCGTCTAATCCATACTAAATATAACAAAAATTATCTTTTCTCGCACTTTCAATTTTTGTTACAAAAAAAATACCACTCGAATCAGGTAAATTATACAGACTAAGAAAGAGCAAAATAGAGTTATTGAACTTTTCTTACCTTCAATGCATTGTTCACTAATGAAATCTAAAAACCAAATAAAAAGAACGGTTATTTATCAACCTTATTTGAATGGTTAGATACATCTACCATACCATCGGCATTGCATAAACAAATTTAGATAAATTGGCTTTGAACAATTTTGAGCTACGGCCAATAATAGCACTAAAATTAAAATCAAAGACATATGTCTAATAAGAACGTAAGAAAAAGGGAATTTTTACATAAATGATACCTTTCGACAGCAGTACTGTTTTGAATCATCCATACGTCTGCATATGTTCTTGCGATTAAAGCGCACGCAATAAGAACTAAATAGAATGTCTAAAAAAAAGAACAAAAAAAAAATTTTTTTTTTCAAACAGTTTTGCTTCTTTACCTCGCCCGATAGCAATTTTGGTACAAGTATCTTCAATAATACCAAAATATTCCTGTACAAAGAAAAGTATTACTAACAGAACTCCAGATATTTGGCATAAAATTATATGAGGATGGTATCTGTCAGAATAGACTTGTGATAATTCACCGTTCGTTGAACTGCAGTTTCTCGTTGAAAGAATGGAAACCTCGAACTGTCACAGATTTACATCAGGATATTGATTTATTTTACCGTAGAAATTTTCTATCAACCGCAACTTTTTCTTTTTTCAAAAGTCTCTAAAATAAACAGACAACGACTTTATTATTAAAATTCAATAGTTTTCTTTCTCAAAATCTTACTGCTCCTATAGCTGAATTGACATCTTTTGCTAAAAGTCTAAAGACAGAAAAGCTTATAAGATGGTAAAACAGAAATGTATACGATCCTTACTTTTTTGACCGAGCTTTTAGCCATCTTAATGTCCACCAATAACTAATAGCCATACTAGATGCTAATATGAAACCGTGACGATAAACGGGAGCTATTTTACTCAACCCAGCCATGTTCCTTTCTCTGCTGTTTGATCTATAAATCAAGCAGAAGTCTTTTACAGACAATAGAATAAAGATAAATATAGAATAACAGTTATTTTCTCTGTACAAAACAAATAGAATCACTGAGCAGAATTTAGTTCACGTTGTTACCAGTGCATAATGTAATTGATACTTACAGTCAGTGTTACTTATATACAGAGAAATCACTCTTTATTTCAACAAGATTTGGTTCTGGTTTATTTCTCAAAATTTGAGGTGATTTCTGCAGTGTTTCTACGAGAAATCGTGATAAATGACGATTGGTGAAAAAAACAGTCATTCTTCATTCATGTGTTTCTTTAATAATAACTCGTAGTGTGGCGCTATTATCTTGCGACTTAATATCACTGCACATAGCGATATTTTTTCTAATCTAAAATAAGATTTGTCTGAGTCGATAAAATGAGATGAAACGAAAAAGGAAGACACAAGTACTCTCAAAGTTCCAAACGAATTTGAGCTTAAATAGCTGAAAAGTTTAACATAAAAAGACCAAGGTGGTTCAGGAGACATGGCAAAATGTATCTATTAATTTGACGTGTAGCCAAGCCTGTAAAACATACGTCTTCAAGTATCACAAAGTAAAGATTTTAGATCGTAAAAGCTCGACTGAAAAGTAAGTGCAAAAATGAAAGAAAAATGGTGACTTTTTAATTCGAAATATCTACTCTACTTTTTCGTAAAAATCTCAGTGATACACTTTGTCAATATGAAACAACAAAACTTCGTTTGGTGACATAAACTGTTAACGACAGACAATTTCTCATATCCATTGTTCACTGGAGCTAAAAAATTTAAAGATAAAGAAATGAATCCAGCACCATTTTGACAATGGATTCTTTATAGAATTTACTGTTTTCAAACATCTTACTACTATCATATATCCGACAGAATTTTTATTAATAATTTTTTCAATTTTATCAGCTCTACTTCTGAAATTCTCAATATTTCTTTTTCCAGTATAAATGTCACGATTGTTTATTAAATAATATGAATAGAAGAATAGACAAAGCGATAAAACAGAGCAAAACAAAAACAACATATTTCATGCGTAGTAATGTGAAGAGAGTGTAGAAAAAAAAAGAGAGAAAATTAGTTTTTTATTGTGATAGTACATACTATAGAAATCACTCGTTTTGTTTTAGTTCTTGTTTGTCACAACACACAGATACACACACTCATATACAAATACAAAAACAGAAAAAGTCAGAAAGACAACTAAAAAAAGTATATCAATAAATTAAAATAAAAGAAGCAACACCTCAATAACAACAAAAAAAAAATGAAATCATGGCAATGAGTTAACAGCATCTTTCAACCATTGTTCCGGATTTGTAATCAATGTTAATAAACCTAGTGCGTGAAATAAATCACTCATTGTTTCAGATGGTATTAAATCTTGTTCAAAGTGTTTTAAAATTTTTGTACATCTTTCCATCACATAAGAATCATTTGAACGTATGAAATTAGCTAATTGATGATGATATGTTGTGGAGGTGGTTGAGGTAGCTGTGGCTGTGGCTGTGGCTGTAGCTGTAGCAGTAGCAGCAGCAGCAGCAGCAGGTGTGGATGGAGTCGTCATTGATTCGTCAGAAACACGCTACAAAAAATATAAAAATCATTTAACTTATTATGTCAAAATATTGTAAAACTTACTTTGAACATGTGTGTAAAAAATCCATTAATTAGTCCAAAAAATATCAAACATGTTTTATATGTTGAGAATGGTTTCAATGTTTTTGAAGATACTCTAAAACAATTATAGAAAAGTAGATATTGATGATATGAACGTTAGATATTTGGCTTCACTTACTTTGTCCTTTCGTTAGAATTATTCGTCGAACGTACATGGGTAGTAGTTAATAAATGTTGTAAAAATGTGATGCGATGTTTTTCCCAATCACTGGGTTTCATAAGAACCAATGCTAATGCTGCCATATAAAATGGACCATCGATCTAAACAAACAATCATCATAAACCAACATTTCTACTAAACAATATATTCATACCTCAAATGCTTCACTAATCCATTGTTCTTGACGAGTAACATTAAGAAAATTTTGTAATATTTTTTCTTCGCGATCAATCTGTCGACTTCTGAAAAAATGTAATGAACAAAAACGAATAATGTTGATATAAATTTCAAAAAAATCATAAAATACTCACGTGTTTAATACATAAAGTACAGCATGTATTTCATATGGTATTAGACGTATATTCGATTCTCTACCACCACCTCCAGTATCCTCACTAAAAGATTGTAATTCAGCAAAACGTAGTAACAATAATTTAATATCATGAATGGACAAAGATGGAGATGTTTCACGAACACCAGTTGCTTCGACTATGTGAGTATCATATCTAAAACAAAAGTCATATAACAAAAAGTTGAATTAATATAATTTAACAGAGTCAATAGTTTATTTTACCTGGCTAATGCTGTTGTAAATTGAGCTTCTTGAACATCTGGTCCCCATACGGGCAATAATCCATTACATCTTGTATTAGCATTTTGTAATAATGCTGATTCCCATTCATCTCGAGAACGTGCTTGTTTTATGGCTGAATTATGGCATTCAATATGGATAATATTAAAATGTGTTACAGTCGAATAACCAGGTGATTTTCTTGTTTTATATTCATTTGGTTCAATATCAACTTTTTTTGTAAAAGTATAAATGGCCAAAACTTTATTCGGATGATATTTATAACCCTCTCGACATATACAACAAACATGACCAGATTCTTCTGCTAATTCTGATGCTACATTTACGACTTCTGGTAATTCACATACACTTTGTCCTCTCGATTTTGTCTAAAAATAACAATCATAACAGAGCACTTGAATATCATATGTTTTAACAAATATTAACATACCCCTAAGTTCAGTTCTTTCATTTTTTTTTCACGTGCTTCTAATGCTAAACGTTTCTTTTCTGTACGTGTTTGATTTCGAACATCATCAATCTAAAATAAGAATAGAATGATGTTCTGTTTTTATAGTTTCTTAATTTAGTTTACCATTTTTGCAACAGTTTGATTTTCTGTCAACGAATGTAAGAGATCTTCAGCAAGTACTCCCACTTTTCCAGCTGTTGTCATTAATTCAATTTTATGCAATGTTGGTATTAACGTTTGTCCAATTTTCATTTGTATTTGTTCATGTCCATAGGATAAACCCGTTAATAATCTTAATATGTACGGTAATGATGGTTTTTGAGAGAATTCTTTCCATTTATTTTGATCTTGTGTGCCCAAATAAGATGTTACTTGTGGTGAATTTGTTTCAATATATTTAATACATTGTTCAATAATACCTTGTGGACAATTCATTAAATCTCGAAATTCTTTACCATAAATTGATGTTTTATCTAAATGTTTACATATTTCACAAAAACAATCTAAATGTAATGTATTATCATTATCATGAATGGTTGTTCCCGTTGATGATTGTTCTTGATCAAAACGTTCAAATTCCAAATATGGTTTAAAATAATCTAATAATGTTTGCATTTTATCTTTATTACCAAATGACAAATATGGTAATAGACGAATTAATGCTTGCATCAAAGATGGATGACTTTTAACAAATGATAATTTGATATAATTTAATAATGAACGTAATTGTTCTATATCACCTATAAAAAATAAATAAGAATAGAATATATGAGAAAAAGAGAGTTATTTTTTAATTTATCATACCTTCACATGACACTGAAAATTCATTATATTTATCTTGATTTAATGTTGTACTTGCTTCATGAAATAAAGTATCCATAATTGATAATAATTTTTCAGTTAATGCTAATAACGATTGATCTTTTCCTTGTTCTTCAATCTCGGTTTTTAATAGTAAATTTAATTTATTTAATAAACATGTTATTGATTTTAATTGTGGTTCAATTAAACGTTGACGATTGGCTTTTAGTTTAATTGCATATTCAAATAATTTTAATAATACTTGTAATAATTGTTTACCATTTGACATATCTTTAATTGATTCTAAACGTTTTAACATTGTTTCTAAACCACCATGTTCACATAATATAGAAGCTAAACGATAAATATCTTCTGGATTATTTTCATCATCACCCGTCGCTTTTTTAGCATCAAATGTTTCAATAATATCTTCTGTTGCATCACCGAGTAATCCACGCATACGATAAACAATACGCATTGGATCATTTTCATTTTGTTGTACAACTGCAAGTTGTTGAGCTGCAGCTGCTGCAGGATCAACAGGCTGTTGAGAAGTTGGTGGATGTTGTGCTTGATTAACATGAGCCAACCAAACTTTTTTATAAACATCTTTCACAGGTAAATTTAAATTAATTATTTTATTTAAAACTAGTAATTCCATTCCATTATCATCTTCTAATAAGGCGATTAATTCACAATCAGTACATATTTTATTTTTAATATCACGCATTAATGGACCCATTTGTGGATCAGTTGAACTATATGGATTACCGACCATGCGTCCTAGAAAAAAAAAGAAATTCAAGAAACATTCTTTTATTTAGTAACATAGACAATTGTAGCTCTTTTCAAACAGAAAAAATGAACACTTGATTCAATAGGTACCAGATACATTCAAAAGATAAAAGAAGAAAAATTTTATTTTACTTTCCTTGCTACTGGTATCTTAACTGATGTAGGATGAAAAATTCGGCAATTAAAACTCTCTATCTGAAAATAACCTTCATACAATTATCTATCAGTAATCCGTAGCACGTATAAAAGAAAATTTATATCTAAAGTGAGAGAACAAACCTAACAGGAATACTTTTCCAAGTGTTCATCCGGTTTTTTTATGAAATCTATGTTAATATACGAATCGATAATGTTGATTTCGATAGCTGACCAAGTTGCTTTTAAAAATCCGATTTTTCAAGTCAAAACATTTTTTTCTTTTCAAAATCAGTTTCTGATCTATTCAGTCAATAGAGTGTCACGAGTCTTGTAACGAGTGGCCCAAAAAGAATTATTGGTGTTAGTATTTTCAATTTTTCTCCTCTTTCTTATAATTAATCGAGCAAATTTTTTTTACAAAAATATAGCGCTTTCGATTCTCTACAAAATATGTATTGACTGATTTATTGCAAAATCCGAAGGTAAAATGAGATGAGAAATCTTATAAAGTACGAAAATTCAAAAAAGATAAGTTAAGCAACCGGCTTTTAAGTTTTACTCACTAAACGTTTGTGGGAGAAAGCTGAAATAGCTATCGTGTAAGCTCTATCTTCCACATATGATTAAAGATTTTTTACAGTTAGAACTGAGGACGTAAGCGTAACGATTGAGAAAACAACGCCATTTTTAGTAAACAAAAAAACTATAAAATCCGATCAATCACTTACTATAAAAGAAAATTATTTGTGGGTGGGTATACACAATGCTCGAACGACTGAATGTAGCAAAAAATTGATTTTGAAAAAAAGTGTGGACTTAAAAAAGTCGAGTCTTGAAAAGTAATTTGAATAATTTTCGTTCTCATATTCGAAATCAACGTTATCAATTACCTATCATAACATAGGTTTGATCAGAAAAAGTGAGCGGACACTTGAAAAAGTTTACTCATAAGTCCAAAAGACTATCTATACGTAGAATGTGTTAGACTAGATGAAATATTATTGAAAATCTATGCTTTTTCTCTTAAAATACTGTTATTATAACGAATTCTCACAAAAATCCTAAAACAAATAGATCAATAAATGTATTCTACCTTGAAGAAAATCTTCTTGATTTGGATCTTTTTCTAATATTAGAAAAAATTCTTTATTTCCTTGTATAGTTTCTTCGGGATAGATTAAATTACATAATCTTTCAAATATAAATTGTGGTGTCATCATATCATCCAAATCAAATTTATCTATTGTATCGATACATACGATCATAAATTGTTTTGTTTCCTAGAAGTAAAAAAAACGATGAAAAATTTGTGATTTATTAGTAGTCACGTTCTATCTATTCAACTTTTTTTCTACATTTCTTTTCGATATATTTTCAAAAGAACATAAAGAAGTCTAATACTTACGTCTTCATTTCCCGTTGTAATTTTTTCTAATAATTCTAACATTTTTGTTTGTGCTTCATCAATTAATTTTGTTCGTTGTATAATTAATTTTTTTAATGATAAATAACTGTTTAGAACAACACCAATTAAAATAGATTTATATTTTTGTCTAATATCTTGTTGTTGTAAAAATAGATTTAATAATTCTGATAGACATTTAATTGAATAACCAAATGTTAAACTAGAATGAAAACTTGCTTGTTCATATTTTTGTATAATAACTAATTCATTTGATATTAATTGTGCTAAACGTTTTAAAATATTATTTGGTTCTTCACATAATTTCATTTTTAATTTTGTATCATTTTCTATTAAATCTTTAATTAATTGTAAATATTCATTTGAATATTCACCATATTGACTAAGATCACTAATCATATGTAGATAATTTATTAATATATAAATAATTGTTAATTTATGTTTTTCATTCCAACATAAAGATTGAATTAATTTACATGTTAAATAACGAATTGTTGGAGATTGAGGACAAAATAATAATTTTTTTAACCAAGAATCGGGTGTATCCAATGATGATAATGAAAATGTTGTTAATGAATCGGATTGTTGTTGTTGACGATTTAATGATGTTATCCAATCATTATAAGAAAATTGTTTATTTAAAAAACTTTCAACATCAATATTTGCTGGTGCTGTTATTTGTCTCTCATCTGTTGATGATAGTGGTAAAATTTTTTTTGTTGATGTTGAAATAGCTTGTGTTATTGATGTTCCATATGGTCGTGATAAATGAAGAATCATTCTTAAACTTGGTAATGTAATTGTTTCTAATACATTTGGATTTTTAATTGTTACACTTTTTAAAAATATTTTTAATACACAACGAAATTTTTTCTCCCAACATGTATCATCATCATTAAAACGTTGTATAAATGTATATAATACTAATAATTCACTATTTACTAAATATTGAAGAGATTGAGGTGATTGATCTAATGAACGATCAATTTTATCATAAATATATTCTGTTATATAATCAGTTAATGTTGGATTATCACGTGTTAAATGAGATAATAGAAGACGTACATCTGATCGTATTTGTTGATTTGAATAACGAATATTATTTAATAATAGTTCATTAATTAAAGACATATTAGTTGTTAAACGTTTTTTAATTATAGATGATGTTGAACATAGTGAACGTAAAAGTAAAATACAATGAGAAATTGTTGATAATGTACAACCATAACAATTATTTACTGGTGTTGTTAATAAATTTGGTTGATCTCGCTCACTAGAACAAAGAGAAAATATAAAATTTTTTTATTTGTAATTTGTCTAAACTTATTCACTTACATTGTAATCGTTGTTGTTTTATGTCGTTTATCATAGTCATATAATTCTTTTCTTGAGCAAATAATTTTTTGAATATATTTTCCTAATTCATCATACGTTTGTCTACATTCAATATTGTATTTTGGTGCTATTTGTTGTACAATTTTATTAATTCCACCACCGGCTGCAGATGTAGCATTATTCTGTGCTGTTGCTGTTGGCGGTTGTTGTTCATCAACTGTTCCACCAGTTGTTACCATTGTTGAATCATCATTCAATTTTGTTAACAAATATTCTAATAATGGTTTTTGATTAATCAATTGACGATAGATTTTATCCGTTTTATCTAATAATTGACTAATATTTGCCAATGTTTTTGTTCGATCATCATCCGATTCAATTGGATCAACATAATTTTGATGTTTAGCACTAAAATTAAATTCAAATTTTGCATATTTACAAAAGCCACATGAATTGCACAAAAATGGATCACGTTCATCATAATTAATTGAACGACATTTATGACATTGAAATACATTTTCACCACAATTTGGACAAATTCCAGGAGTTGTTGATACAGCTGAATTACATCGTGGACATTGTAATGTTGTCGCATCCGTTGGTTGTGTAGCGGGTGTTATCGATTCATAAAAATCAACATATTCAATCTGTAAATTACAAGCAATTATAGGTAGAGTAAAATCAATTTTACAATCGTTTTGTGCTGGATTTAATTTTATTGTTTTAGCTAACATCCATTTACAATTGACACTATTTTTTAAATCAACAATCGATTGAACATTTCGATTATTATAATAAAATCGAATTGTACGAACCTTAAATAGATAAAATGAAGAAAAAGTAAAATTTTTCAGTCAAATTATTGATCAAACATAAAAATACAGTTTAGTGTAAGAACAGATATGCTAATGATTTCCTCTAGTTTAACGAATGAAAAAACTTGACTTTAAAGGAAGTAGTGTCTAAAATAAATATACTAACCATTTTTTGACGTTTAATCTCGGATAATTTTATATGTAATTTTTGAATGGAATAACATTGAATTAATTTAATGATATGTGATTGTGTTGTGTATCGTTGATCTAATTTAATTGATTGTAATTTTATCGATTGATATTGTATATCAGGATTGTTGCATACTAGACACGGTTCATTTTCTAAATAATATCCTCCTTGATCTAAATCAATAATAGTCGATAAACGACGATAAATTGATGAATTTGGATGATTTGATAACAACAAATTTTCATCTTTCAGTAATGTTTCTAGCATAGATAAAAATTTTGAAATTTTATCATTTGTTGTGTCTGCATCCGTTTTACACATTTTAACAACAAGATAACCTAAGAGATCTATATATTGAAATGCTTTTGAACCATAATGCGGTATTATTGGCCATAATTCCATTAATAATTCATATAATTGTTCTTGAAATTGCAAATTTGAATTTATATATAAATTGTAGAAAAACGTATGAGTTAACCAACGAATTTGCTGTTGATTATTGTCTAATAAGAATTGTTTCAAAAATAATTTCAGTACATCAGGCGAAACATGTTTATGAATTTGTGCTGCAATCGAGTAAGATGAAAGATCTTCAATAGCGTCAGTTTGAGATGATGTCAATGGCATCGAAGTTGATTCTGGTGGACGAGTCGACTTTGATGATCTTAAACTACGACCAAATGATGTTTGAGAAGTGGATGAAGTTGATGTGGAGGATGACGAAGATGACGATACAGCATTTACCACACATTGTAAAACAAATGGAACAATAGAATCATCGACTAATAAACATAATTCAAATAAAAATTGTAGAATGGATGAATCACGTTTACAAAACTTTTGCCAATTAAGACGACGTTGAACACTTATATCCTGGCATGATTTGAGACGATCAACCTAGTAAAAAAAACAACAATTATATCGTCTATAAAGAGAAATTAGTCAAATAAATGATGGAAACAATGTTTTAGACGATTATACAATGACAGTTTTACATATTTCAAATACTATGTTGAAGATTAGAAATAAAAATAATTTTTTTTGCTTTACCAGTGTGACAAGTGTTGTATATGAAATTTGTGATAATGATGTTGCTGTTTTCCGTTGTTGTAGATCTCCAACTAAAAAGTTCTGTTGATAAATTGTTTTTATTTCAATTAAATTTGTTGATAGTACATGAATATCTCTTAATTTTCGATATTTTTCACGTGTACCACAGATATATAACAATAATTTACGAATTTGTCTTTTGAGAAATAATGCTTGAGGTAAAACGAGATATTCACATAGACATGTTTGCCAAGAGGATGATAAATCAAACGAGCGTCCACCAGATTCAATACTATCAAACACTTTTTTCATTTGATATGGTAGTCTTGTTGCTATTTCTGCTAATAATTCTGGGTATGATTCAAATACATCTGATGCATGATGTTTTGTATATGGTTTATAAAAAAATGGTGATAAATCAGGTAATGTATGTTTTAATAATGGCTTCAATAATGCTGGCGCTGCCAAGTTCGCTGCCGATTGTTGAGGTTGTTGTGGTTGCTGGGTTAACGCTTGTTCTGCTGTTGTGCTTTCATTAATTGGTTGTTTCATTAAATATCTATAAACAGCTTTTAGCACATACAAACAATAATCGGCTACACCATTCTCATTAAGATAATTGGCTGTTGTCACAGATAAATGTCGATATTGTTCACGCTCATTTGGTTGAACTTTTAACATAAAAGATACATAAACGGTGAATAATCTTAATAACATTAATTGTATTTCTTTTTTTGGACTACGTTTAATAATATCTTCATCATCGGTTAAATCTTCCAGATCAATTTCTTTAATATTTTTAATAAATATCATTTGTTTCAATAATGTTTTGATAATATATTCTACAAAATCTTTATCTTTATTCTGCGATGCAAATTCAATTGTCAACGTCAATAATAATTGTAAATAAGCAATAGAATTAATACCACTGTTCTCCATCATCAATTCTGGCTCAATATTTTCTAATAATTTTTCAACAATCAAACGTTTCATACTATACAAACGTTGTTCATATAAGTTATGATCAATTCCGTTTAAATAATTTTCATGTCGTCTACCACTACCCCGACCTCCATCGCCACTATGAACAGTTGTATTTGGAGAATATAAATCATTAGTATTTTGCGTTGTTGCTGGCGTGACTGCTGTTAACGGTGTATTTGGTGTTGCTATTATACTCATATTCATAGTTGCTGGTACTTCTATTGGACCATCACCATTCACTGAACTTGTTTCAGACGCGTTACCATTTTGATCATCAGCTTCACCATCGTACATGCTATTTGTTTCAGAATAATCTTGATGTGTTTGCTGACCTTGACGTGGTGGTTGTTCTAAAGCATTGTCTGTCACAGATGCTTCTTCTTGAAGAGCGGAAGCAGCTGCTGCAGCCATCATCATCATCATATGATGCATATCCGGATCTTGCTCGTCTGGATTATGTGATTCTTCATGTCCAGCATTTGCCAAATTATAATTTTCATCCATTTCATCCTCATCTTCGTCGATTTCATCGTCTGGATCATCATCTCCATCTAAATGGATGAAAAATACTTATTTGAAAAATGAAAGATATATTCTTAAAAGTCAGTACGCCCATTGTTGCTCATTGACTTCTTCCATTTGTTTTACTAAGCTGTACCGTAGGAAAAAAATTGCTTAAATGAGTGACAGTTTGCATATTTGCTGATATGTAGCTGGTAACGATTAATTCTGTGAATTCTGAAATTTCCAGACTACTCTAGCTACAAAATTATTTACTAAGAAAGATTTGATGTATGAATAACTACCCAGTCAGCAAGTTACTTTTCTCAATCTTTGTTTAAACTGAGAACGAAAAGTAACCGCTACAGCACAAATAAAGAAATAGTAAACAAATTCTTTACATTCTACAGCATGTTGATTAGTCGAAGCTGATCCGTGTGCAATATGACTTGTATTGCCAGTTGCTTGTGATTCTACTCCATTGTTTGCACTTGCGGTACCAGTGCTACCTGCAGTACTATTATCTTGTAAACTCATTGCTAATGCAAACTGTAATATAGCGTTTTCTTGCTCATCTTCATCTTGATTACCAGCACCATCAAACTGAGGTACCGTGCCAGCAGACGCTAATGAACCGGATCCAGAATTAATATTAGCCGAAGGCATTTCTAAACCACTCTGTTGAAACATCTGACTAAAAAATTCGCCACCGAATGGACTGAGATTCATCGGTGGTGTAGTTGTTGTTGTTGGTGCTGTTGATGTGGTATTGGTCTCACCAGTCGTCGTTATAGTAGCCGCTTGAACAGCAGAGGAAAATGCAGCTAACTCTGACCACGGTTGACGAAGACGATCAGTTGCAGTTGCTAGAACGAAAACACGAGCTCATAATGGTGAACAGATTACTTTGACAACAAGCAACGTGCTTCAGTAATTTAATACATTAGCAAATACGGAGGTTTTAATTCAAAAAAATTTTCTATCTGACGAGGATCAAGAAGTGGATCTGAATGCACCCAGATTCACTTCCTGGTCACATCTCCTTTCAGAATAGTCAACGATCTTATTCATTCACCTTAAGTAGAGTACTCTTATTAAAATCATGGTGCATTACTGGAAAGATGGACTCATTTTACTTACACGATTGTCTCTGCGGCTGTTGTGGAAGTGAAGATGGCGGTTGCGTTTGAGCTGCCGATGTAAATAAATTAGACGCTCTCAAATCATTATATATATTTGCTGATAGTTGCATTGGCTGAAATAAACCTGATTGTGAATTATCATTATCTTTATCTTGTCTACTTTCTTTTCCTATGCCTCGTTGACTTGTATCACTTGCTGTAGATAATTTTGATATCAGACGTCTTATTTTTGGTTGCATGCAACGATTTAATGAATTTTTCATCATGAAGTTAATATGATAATCGTTGTATGTCAGCAATTTAAGATACGCATCGACAACTAAATTCATACATACTGTCGGCTCATATATTGCGAGTGAATGATATAGATCAACTAACAATCGCAGAGTAACTTCAATCGATGATAAATCGATAGACGGATTATCGATAGATTCTAATAATGAACTTGATGGACGATTATTTAACAAATGAATAAATATATTGACAAGTCGTGGTATAAAAATAGTGATCGATGACGATTTTGAGATGGCATCTTTATTTTTCGCTGCTTCTGATTGATCAACAATATTTAAATAACGTATAATACTTTGTGGACGTTTACGTGCTATTGACGATAATGTAATTAATAAACTTTCGTATGTTTCAATATCAAATGAATCAAGAAAATTTTCTGAGGAGAGACAAGTTGAAATAATGTCTAATTGTAAATGATCTAAATTATTATTGTACAAATCCTGATTAGGCGAATAATATTCACATAATAGTTGTCGACAACATTTTTGAATACTAAGTGGAATGGATAGTTGAAAAAATTTTGATGTTATGTATACAATGTCTTGATTTATTCTGACACGATCAGTTTCATCCAATTGATTTAACGTTAACGAGCCAGTTAGAACATTCATACTGTACATAATTAATCTAAACAATAAAATAAAACTTTTAGTTTAAGTGGCAGAAAACAAAAAAAAAGAAGCATTTACGCTTGTAGCAGATCATCTAATATATGAAAAACTGCATCAGTAGTCATTCAAATTATAGGATAACGATGAGAAGGTGTTTACTTACTTGTCCATGAGTGATAATGTTGCTATTTCTCTATCACTATTGCTTAATGTCGACAATGCTTGTGTTGTTGTTGTTGTACCAGCTGTTGTTGGCGACGATGATGAAGTCAATAATGAATTATCAACATCATCTGGCCAATTGAATTGGTCTTTTGTTTTTCCGTATACTTTAACATCATCAATAATTGTTACATGATTTGTATCTGTAGATTGTCCAACAATAATCGAAAATTTTTTATCTGCTTGTAATGATTCTTGTCTTGTTAAACATATATCGTACCATCTTGGACCTTGTGAATAATTCACTTGGACCGTACGACCAAATAATTCAAAATATTGTGGACATTTGTCAATTAAATACGAACCAACATGAATTCGTACACCACAAAAAACTGTATTATCAGGATCTTTATTAATAACATCTAAGGTAAAACCACCGGTACGCACGTTGGCAACAAACATTCCCGGAGAAGATAAACGAAGTTTTAATTGCGCTACATTGTACACATCCAATAGATCACGACCACCAAATTCATATTCAGTTAACAATGTACACGATTCAAAGAAATCAACCGGAAATCGCGGTGTACCTAAAAAATGAAATGTTATGTTGTGATGCAATAGTAAAATATGATCGAACAAATGTATTTTCAACGATTTTACTATAGGATGATTTGCCTTTGTGGAAGCAAACAATATGCATTTATTTCTTGGATGAGATTAGCGTTCAAGTAACCCAACAGAGACACGAAGTATTTGAGAAAGTTTTACGTTCTATTACAAAAAAAAACGGAGAATCTTTGGTCCATACCTGTTGCCGCCACATTGTCAAATGGTCTTACTGATGTAATTTGTTGTTGTTGTTTTCTATTCGTTGGTGTAATTGTTTCATTTCCTTCATCGTCTTCCTCTTCATGTTGTTCTTCCTCTTCACCTTCATTTTGATCATGTTTGAGTGTAGGATATTGTTTTTTCTTTCGATATTTTTTATTAAGCCAATAATCGGTTTTATCTAAATCAGCTAACAAAATTTTTAAACTTCCATCCTCCGCCAACAATATAAATGTTGTTTTATCATCAATTGTCGAATCCAATGCTTTAGTTGAATGTCTCAATGCTGCTAAATCTTGCGTTTTCGTCGTTTTCGATGGTAATTTAACTTCATGAGCATGCACTTTCTCTGGTGTTATCATTAAAACAACTGGATTCGATGTCATCTGTGTCATTGAACAAATTAAGCCGGGATGACGTTGAATTTCTGACCATTGACATAGTGTATGATACGTTGATTTTGTTGGCGTCGTACCATTGGACATTTTAATATCAATTGATCGTATCATTAACATTCGTTCAATATTTTGTTCATCAATAATACCATAAAAATTTTTGCCATGTAAATACGACCAAAGTAATATTTTTAATACTGATGAATAGTACACTGATACACCTCCACCAAGAATAATACCATTTCCATTCGTTTCTTGTATTGTATCATGTTTTAAGTCAAGAGTATTTGTTACATAGAATGAACCATTTTTAGCTGAACTTGTTTCACACAATTGTTCATAATAAATATAACCATTTGAGGCCATTATTAATATATAACATTCACAGTCATTTTTCTTATAATAAAATGTACAATCGCGAACTTTACCTATAAAATAAAAAAATAATTTTTATATAAATTTTCTAAATCGATGTATCAAGCATACCTGCTGGTAATAGAAAATAATATATTGGACTAACAATATCAATACTAAGATCATATATTTTTATAAAATCGGCCGTTAACAAAGCCAACTGTGTTTGATTTTTATCTAATAACCATTGAGTTTTAATAATATAATTTCCACTTGAATCTAAACCTGGTTGTAAGACAATTGTTGGCTCTTTTATTTGTCCTAAATGATTAATGTTATATATATGACAATCTTTGAGACCAGTAACACATAAATAATCATTATTAATTAGATTTGGTTGCATTGTTACAATTGTAAATGGTATGTTGATTGTTGATAATTTTGTTAATGTCAATTTCTTTTTAGATGCTGTGCTAGAATCTGATGGAGCTGCTGCTGTTGATGATGGTGCTGATGTAGAGGGATTTGAAGCAGCAACAGCTTGTTTTAATAATGTACTTAATTGTAGTATTGTTATCATTGACTGTTTCCCTTTTTCTTGACTAACGACTAAATGTTGTTTTTGTTCACCATTTGACATTATACACATACCTTGACGACGAATTGAATTTGTACCTTAAAGAAGCGAAGAAAAACATAATATTGAATAAATTAAAACATCGATAAGATATCTCATTCTCTCTTATTTTCTCAGTCTCTTACTGAGTAATTGTTTTATTTGTTGTCCATGTTCACCGGCAAATGATAATTTAACGTGTTCAAATGCTCCTTCTTGTGAACACAATGTAACTGATAGTAATTGTGGTGTATTATCAAGATGTTCATCTTTTATCCATGAATATTTGAGAAATTCTTGTGTCATATTAAATTTATTTTGTTGATCATACACTTGTGAATATTCATTTTCAATATATGGTTTTAATATACGTAATAATCTCAATGCATTTAGAGGTACATGTTTTGTTTGAATACATGTATAAAATTCTTGTCGCGATTGTTGAATTTGTCTGGATAATAATTGATGACGTTTATTATGTTTTGATTGTTTTTGTTTATGATTTTTTATCTTAGTTTTATTTTTATTCTTTGTTGATATTGTTGTTTTTGTCTTTGTCTTTGTTGTTGTTTGTGTAAACATTGGCCGTTTAACAAGTGCTTGACATGAACCATCGTCTTTTGCACCACAATCACAAAAAAATGAACCAAATTTTGCATAAGATATATCATGATCTTTATGACAAACATTTGCACATATTTGACAGATGCCAACACGATCAATCATTCTACATGTATGACAATGATACCAATGTTGATTCATATATTCACGTTTGGTGATTGTATATGTACACAATTTATTCGGATCAAATGCGTCACCAATATTTTGAGTTTGTTCAACATAATTCGATTCATCATTATTCTCGCTATCGAACTCTTCCTCGTCATCACTATCTTCATCTGCTTCCAAATGTTCAACTGGTTTTAACGATGGTTGATCATCGGACGTTGTTGTTACTGCTTCGGAAGGTGTTGTCAGTAGTTTTAAAGATGATAAGACATCATTAATATAAGATAATAAGTAAACACTTGCTTCTAATATATTTGAATGAAATATTGACATTGAATCAGGATCATCCGTTGTTGTTGCTATTGTTGTAGCACAATCAGTTGATGATAATAGAGATGATAAAAATGGAGAGGATGTTAGTGATCCACCACTAAGAGAACACAAAACAATTATATAATAAAATATTTATTTTACTCTGTCATTAAATCTCTAAGAAGCGTTTTGTTTTCAGTAGTTTATCCTCTCCGTACAGAAAAGAGCTCATTATTATCATCATCGATAGCAAAACTTGTTAAATGACTCAAAACATATTTGACAAAATTCTTACCTATTATCAACATTTGTTTCATCTGTTGATGTTGTTGTAGCTTTTGAATCTTTATTATTACTATTGTCTAATGCATCGGCACAAAATTCTAACCAAATAGCAGCTGCTTGAAATAGATAAGTATGTCCTGAACCAGTACCATGTCCAGCAAGAATAATAAGTAATTGAATAGATTGTGGAAATCCAATAGCAAATTTACTTGGTCCTAATAATTCATTTGCCAATTGTATGAGTGTTGATAGAACGGATAATGATACTTCTTCACCAATAATATTTTTACCATCTGAATCTTTTTTAACTAAATGTTTTGTAAATGTTTCTAAAACATCTTTACATTCTTCTGGAGTATATGTTGCAGTTATTGTTGAATGCACAGTTGGAGGTAATACTAATCGTGATAACCATTGACTTAATTGTTCATTATTTAAATCGGCGATACGATTTAAACTCTTAATTAATGGTTTTAATTCACTTGATGATCCTAATGTCGAAAATGAAAATAATTTATTAAGAAACATTAACATTTTTGTAAAGAATTGTGATGCTAAATTTTGTTTTGATGTTAAATATAAAAGGTCATAGAGATCATGTTGTGTTTGTTGTAAACATGTAAAGAATGTTTGTGATGGCTGTTGTTCTTCTAAATAATGTAATAAATCATGAAAAAACTGTTCATTAATAATATCATTTGGTAACTGAGTATCAAATAACACTGAAAATATATTTTTATATATGTAATTATAAATATCTTGTTGTTGTACTTCAGTTTTAGGCACTTTTACATTTAAAAATGATAGTGTATAATCGAGACTAATTCGTATGTAGAGTTGTTGATCATCATACTCTTTACTACAAAGTGTAAGAAGAATTTGTTTAATCATCATATAATTTTTATTTCCTTTATCTTCATTAGTATCGTTTAATAAATAACCAACATAATGTTTATACATTTGATTTAAATCTACTGTTGTCGTTAATGAAGATGGTATAGTTGATTTTGTACGATCATCGATTAATTTTGATATTGGTTTTGGTATATTTGGAAGAATGGCGGTTGGTGTTTTGATTTGTGTTGGCGGTTGTTCAGTTAGAATCGAATACAAATGATCAAAGAAATGTGATAATGTCAATGAATCGTATTGAGCACTTAATTCGTTTTTCAAAGATGTTTTCAGCTCATCGATATAGAAATTAATGGTTGATGCTAATTGATCGATGGGAATTGGAGCACTTTTGGATGATTCAAGACAACAAAGAATTGATTTAAACACAAAAGCATTGAATAACGATGGCTCCTAAAAGAGAAAAAATACGTTTTTTGTAGTCAATACTACTACTCAACACAAGTTGAAGACGAAGGAAAACAGGAATGAGATTCTAAAAATATAAATTTGTGATAGAAAAATCAGGAAACAAAAAAATAATATTCATCTAATCTCCAGTCATCACTTTTTTCTGAAATAATATATCAGACTAACTAAAAAAGAAGTTCCATATCAAAAGCGTATGCATATACATTTTTCGTAATAATGTTCTTGACATGTGCAGTGACAGAGAAAGTTGTGTAGACATAAACGGGACAGTTCCGATCCCTATAGGATCAATATCAAGATCAAATGAAAAAATTCTGCTGGCTAAGGATCGTTACTTCAGTGAAAAAACTGCCGTTTTTCTCGAAATTTTTTCTTTATTTTTCAGATAATTTTCAAGAAAAGGATGTATTTTCTTTCGACAACTACTTAATTTCATTCATGCCTACACTTCTGTCATGTCGTTTATGCGACTTGAGTACATAAATAAACTATCTTTCTAGAAGATTTCTGATCAGTTTTTAATCAGTTTAATCGGCGGAAAATTTTTTCGTGTTTTATTTAGAAAAAATAATCAGGACTGTGATCGAGACTAAAACCGAAGAAGGGTAGTCTCACGAATATCTCTACTTAAGAGGGTAATAAAGTTATTGACAGAAGCAAAATCATTCATTGTTACGCTCAATGGAGTAGAAAAGCAGAAAAAAAGGTTGAAAAGTTTGTCGATAAAGTGAAAATAAAATGAGCTATACTCGTTGAAGATAAAACAAAATGAAGACGAACTATTAGTTTTTTAAGCCTAGAACTACTAGTAGTCAGAAGTAAAATCAAGAAAAAATTCTTGCTCTAAAGTTTCTGCAAAAAAACAAGAAAAATCTAACTTCTGAGAAAGTCTTTTAACTAATAGATTTTCTTTTTTGTTACAATGTTTGAATTCTTGCACATGTCAGAGATGATCGATTATCTGAATTCAACTTTAGAGACTGTTCAGACACATGAAAAGCTCGTAAGTCTCAATCATAGATGCAAGTCAGAAAGTCGAAAAATAGACTCAATTTGTATATTCTCTAAAAATTTACCTGTGTAATTGATGACAATTTGATTAGAAAAGATGGTTCATTCAATTTCTCTTGTACTTGCTTAACTAATGACGTATTTGTTTCATCTGGTGTTTGTTTTTGTATCATATCATTTAACCACGTCAAATATGGTTCATTTCCATTTAATTTTGGCATTATTCTCAGCGTATGTAATACTAATGCAGAATCAAGCATCCAGTCGTCATTTGATAACAAATGTTTCATATATGTAGTAGATGGTGGTAAGCAACTGAGCAGACACCACAATATATCATAAAAATATCTTAATGAATAGACATCTTTTTCATTTTCACTCGGTAGTAATGTAAAATCCAATTGTTTTATTAGATGAGAATACAACTGACTATAATCTAATTGATCTGGATTACTAAGTAAAAGATTCATGGCTAAACCATCAATACGTATCGTCTTTGATGTACTATCAGCTTCTTGATCTGTTGACTTTGATGCATCATTACAACGTGTTAAGCGATAATAACTTGGACTTGTTGATTGAGGATATTTTGAACGATATTGTTTATCAAGTTCACTATCATCAGCCTGTTGTGTATCAACATTTGTATCCTGTGATGTTTTCAGTGCTGCATGAATTCTCTTTTGAATCTAAACAAAAAAATACAATAAACAAAAGCTCTCTTTTTCTCATATCTTCGATTAGTGTGTATCACTTTGTTCTGTCTTCAGTCTTGTGACTATGAACATCCAAATAGTTGATATGAACTTTCAGATAATTATTTATAATAATTTGAATTTCTGTCTATTTTTTAAAAAGATGAGCAGAGCTGTAGAATCTGTCTGTTTGCTCCGACGGTCGATTGGCGGAAAACTTATTGATTCGGGGAATTTTTTGAAAATTTGGAACATCTTTTTGGAAATATATTGCAAAAAGAAATTCTGTTCGTGGATTATGTCGGGAAAATTTTTTCTGTCGAGGGAAATTTTCCAATCTCACGGGTAGATTCTGCACCTCTGAAGTTGAGAGAAGAAAACAACTTACATTTTGTATTAATTGTGGTTGTGGTTCATAAAAATGATGAATCATATACTCAAATATAATAAGTAATCTCGAATATAAAATCACATATTTTGGTTTTGTTGTTATGATGTCATTGGCTATTTTCAACAGTAATGTTTTTCTTATCATTATTGGTAATTGATGAAAAAATACAAGTAACACTTGAAGATGTTCTAGATTTACTGTATCATTATGCTTTTCATTTTCTTCTACGTCTTTCAATGATTTTAGGAATTGTTTCCATATATAAACCATTTCTAAATGTACCGGTTGTTTACTCAATTGTTGTTTATCTTCATCCAATATTCTTTGAAGAATAATTTTAAGTAGAATATTTAGTGTACGTGGATGAATATTTAGGGGCCAATGTTGTATATTTGACGTTGAGATAGGAGAAATATTTAAACATGATAATAAATAATTTTCATTATCCCGTGTTAAAATATTTTGTTGTATTAACGAATTCATGAAACGTGTTAATAGCGGTGATGACAGACCATGTTTAATTATTTTTGCTAAATTATCTAACTCCTGTTTAGAATTCATTGTTTCACTGATATCATTGTATAAAACTGTTGATGTTGTTAAGTCCATAGCTAAATAATTTGTTTCCAAAAAACTTAATATTTCATCAGCATCTTCTTCTGGAGTATCTTCAGAATTTTGACATGAGTCTGTCTCTAAGCATTTACTCATTAAACGACGTTTTCTGTTTGATTTTGATCTGTTTGAATTTGGATTTTGTGGCAATGGTGATGTTAGAGGTCCCGTTCTAGAACGTACACCGTTCGTCTCATCAAATAAACATGAAATAAATAATTGATCACCCTCTTCAGTGTCTTCGTTATCACTCGATGATACAATACCGATATCTGGATCATTTGTTGGCGATGGTTGTTTGAAACTAGTTGGTAATGGTGGAGCTTGCGGTATTGACGGTGTGACCACTGTTGTTTGTGTTGTACTAACGACGGATGTATTCATGTGAATTGAACGATATACCAGTCGACTTAATACGGTTAGAAATAGTTTAAATGTTTGATTTTGTTTTAAATATGAATAACGGTCAGCTGGTTGAAGAACGGATGAGATGGATGAAAGCCACGTTGTTGTTGCTGTAGCTACTGTTTCATTTCTAACATCGTTGCATATTTCTTTCGTTGATAACATTAAAACACAAATCAAATGAGATAAGAGACTGTTCAATGGACTAAAAGAGGGTAAAATTATTATCAAAAAACAAAAAACAACAGAAATTACTTACGCTGATTGTGATATTTCTTTTCCATTATTTAATATTTGTTTAATTCCTTTTGTTAACAATAATGTAATTAAGAGATGATAATTCAAATAAATCTCTTTAGAATTTACGAATCGTAATGACATTTTTATCATTTCACCTATTTTCATAGATATTCCAGCAATATCATGTAGAAACTGATCGCAGTCGACCGTCGATGGCGGCAATGTGGTAAGGTCAAGTGATATATATATTAAACTAATGAATAATGAATTCAATGTTAGCGATATAAAACTATTCAGACGTTGTTCGGTTAACGGTTCGAATATTGGTAAATTAAGACATTTACGAACAAAATCCAAATCACTATATATTAGTGGCAGACTAGAAAGAAAAGCTAGTGAATTTATCATATTTAATCATGGATGTGAGCAATTCATTTAAGATGAACAAGACATTGAAGAGTTTAAAAGTAGTTGATATATATTCGATCATGTGACAACTATTTTAACTCAATGGGCTAACATAGATAGAAATAGTTCTAAACTCTTCAGAGGACAGAGGAGAGAGCGAGCAGCCGCTACTGTACTTTCATAAATTGTCAATACTCGATAACGTTCCTGATGATTCCTATTTTTGACTCATCCACTTAAACTCCAAGTCGTCTTTAGTTTATCGTTATTTATTTTTCTCTTCAAACTGAGTTGTACTGTCAGGTGTCTATTATCTCACCTTTCACGAAACACTGTGATATCATTAATCGTGACCAATTCATTATTTGTTAATATAGCACTCATACTAATTTGATATTGTTTATTCAATATTGGTAAATTAAATAAAATATCACATACTAATTGATCACCGTGTAGTTGCTTAAAATAGTTGATCATTAACTGACTTAAATATTCTGAAATAAAAAGCAAATACTTTTATATTAAATAACATGTCTATTGAATGAACTTACTGGAAAATGTCATTCTCCCGGTGCCTTGTCCACCACCTGTACTACTACTACTAGAATAGGCTTGGGATAATTTGGTCATAGCATCTTCTGTGGAAAAATCACACAAGATAATATTACATAGTGAGCCGGCCATTTGATTTTCCCGACATTTTGTATTGCCATTTTTCTCACGATTATGACGATCTAAAACAAAAATGACAAAAAAATATTTTCATCAAGAAAACTACTTCCATTAGTAAAATTTGTCTTGTCGTCAGATAATAACAGCAAAAATCTTTTAGGTTATTATATAAAGAGAAAAACTTAGAATAATTTTAATCATAAAACCTTTTACACACTATCAAAGAATGTCTGATGATTAATCGTGAATTTGTTCAATGTATCAATCTTTGAAAAGAATATGTTTGCTTACCATCTTTATTTATTTGTGGACAATCAACTGTTTTTATTAATTCTAAACATTCTTTATAGTCTTGTGATGATATATCTGATTGTGCATAACACAATGTTTGGATTCCATGTATAACACACAACTATAATAAGAAACAGTTAGTTTATTCTCGAAAATTTACAAGGCAAATGTAAACTTACTCTATTTTTCTCATTTGACTTTGGCAATGCATGATGCAGTAAATATTTTAATAAAATTTTTGATACATTAATTACATCGAAGTAGATCGAATGGTCGACTAGAAAGAAAGTATGAATCTGACAGATCTGTTAGTGACAAAAAACAACAACAACTCGTACTATTTTGTAATGCACTGGTAATATACTTCGTTGCTAAAATGACGAATGCTAAGAAAAATTTGTCATACAATGGATCTGAACGTATTAACAACTCTTCCCTAAAATAGACATACCTATGAGATACGATGTGAAATGAATAACAAGTAACTTACCATTTAAGAATGGAATCAATTAGTTCATTGAGCGTGCTGAGGTATTTAGCATTAATGTCTAGATCAGTGCTTGTGGAAAATGAATCAATTAATGTTTTCCATTCGAACTGGGCATTTAAGTCAACAGTATTAGTTGCTACAGTCATACTGTTGGATCAAGACATAGTCAATCTGAAAATTGAAACGAAGAAAATTCGATGTCGGACTAGAATAATTGTAATATAAATGAAATTGTCAAATTCTATCGTATCTGAAGACAAGAGTTCTACGTGCGTTCAATTTTCTTCTATACTGTATTGTGTGTTGTAAACAAATTTAATAGAAATCGGTCTATTATCCAAGAATGTACGGACCAAAAATCCAGTACTTATAATCTTTGAAGGAGGTTCGAATGAAAAATGAATGAGATTTATACTGTATTTTGGCGTTACGTTCAACAACATAATGTACAAGTTTTGTACATTCCTTATAGAATAATCTTTATCTTTCGCTATAAAACCCTAGTCAAATAACAAATTATATATTCTATCAGCATCACAGGAAATGGGAGACTAGTTATTCAATTGTCCACACAGGTATTGAATGTGACACAAGTAAGAAGCAACATGAAAACAAGCAAACATTGCTATTGTACAAATATTAGTACTGGTTGACTTTCTTGTTCGTTTAAAAAGCTAAAAATAAAATCGTTACTAGAGGCTTTTTGTTGTATCATTTGCTTTTGATTGGCTCGTGTTGCAATTACTCACTGGGAATTTAGTCAGCCTTATAAATTGGAGGTTTGCTTTCCTATTGACGAACTAATTTGTGTATTAGTTATTTTTTAAGTTTTTATTGCTGATTGCAATTTATAAAACTGAAATAAAATAATTTTTGCGCACAATAGTTTCTTTTCTGTTTTTGGTGTCTACCTCCTACTAATTATAGCTACTCAATATAATCAACTTCTGAATAAGACTGAGATTAAGAAAATGTTGATGAGATCTGCAACAAAAAGCAATTAAGAGTTGGTTGATTTAATTTGTTATTGGATTTTATTATCTAAAACAAATTAGAAACTATGCGTAAAGATTCCAACATAGCACTTTTGTGGTAGATACTAAAAGCAAAAAAGAAACTGTTGTGCGCTAAAATTATTTTATTTTCAATTTTATAAACTACAATCAGCAATAAAAAATTAAAAAATAACTAATGCACAAATTAGTTCGTCAATAGGAAAGCAAACCTTCAATTTATAAGGCTGACTAAATTCCCAGTGAGTAATTGCAACACGAGTCAATCAAAAATAAAATGCAAAGTCTTTTGCATTCAGAATAGTATCCTACTGATGCATAATGCCATTCCAGAATGGCTTATTTGCCCCTATAATAAGCATTTAGTTGATACGTCGATGTTTTCTTTTGGAATGAAAAAAATTAACAAGATGAGTCACAGAGCTCATGACTACATATAAAGAAAAAGAAAGTCGCAAAACGCCCTAGAATTGCTATAAAAACAATGTATACTTTTTTCGCAAAGTAAACGGTTTAAACTTTGCTTTCTCGAACAAAGTGTCAAAGAAAATGTGAACTCGAACTTGAAAGTAGACAGCATATCTTATAATTGCTGTGTACAACTATCAATAGAAAAGCGTTTCTTTGATCGAGGTAATCTAGCATCATTTCCTCCTGGCAGCACTTCAATGTCCATCTAAATTTCTCAAAACTTGATCCTCCCTTACTCTACTTTGCACATAGTTTTTATTTAAGAGAATTTCAAAACAACACTTCTAAAAACATGAAAATATTCTTTTTGAATTATTATTAATCCATCCGACTAATTCTTTTCTTTAAAGGAGAAAACTAGAGATACGCAGAGGTCATACGTAGACGGCTCATTTGTAAAAAATTGTTTGTTCATTTCTGATTCTATTCGTTGATTGATATGTGACTTATTTATTATACCAGATGAATCAATATTTTTGTTTCATAAATTTTTGATTAGTGGGAACAAATACGATCCATGAGTGTTGCTTATAATTCGGAAGAAAATGAATAGAAAATTTTGAATTCACAAACTGATGCGCAATCAAATTTCCCTGTTTGTCAAGCTAATTCTTTCAAGCTCGTGTTAAATTAATTAAGGTAAAATTCATGTTCTAAGAATTATAAGACGATTCTTAAACTATTTAATTGTTTACTATAAGGTTTGTCCTCGTTCTGGAATTGTTTCTTTCAGTTGAGAAGCGATCGATAAACTTTACTAAATAAAATTGGAAAAGATTATTACTTTATGTTTTGGAGAAAACGTCCACTCGCAAAAGTTGTTGTATTTCTGAAACGATATTGAGATTACTTGTTAATAAATTATCCTTGCCTTTCACTCAATTTGGAGAGTGTGCTGGTAAATCAATATTGTCTAATGAAGTATTTCTATTTGATTAGTGTCAGCTTGGTAAATACCTGAGAAATGTGTGAATAACTAAAAACAGATACTGAAACTGCATTTTTTTCTATCATTAAATTAGTTAATAATAATATTTTCTCTGTGAAACTTATTAACGTTCGATCTGGATGAGAAAATAAAACCCAACTAGCCATGCGTATTATTTTTATGAAATTATTGGAGAAAAAAATGAGTGAATACAAACACAAATAAGAAGCTACCGACATAGAAACATGTTTACTGAGGTAAACAGAACTAACACTACGGAGAAAAATTATACAGAAGTATTATAAAAAAAAAGTAGCAGAAACTATGATTTTACGTTTTTCTGGATGCAGAAATGAAAATATGAGAGAAAATGTAAAAAATTAAGAACAAACAAGTAGAGACGCTTGTGTATACATGTAACATATGGTCGGAATCACTTCAGGAGAAGAGCGAAATTAAAGCTTCAAAGTGTAATAAAAGGATTACAAAATTTATTACAAAATTTTAGTTAACCCGATTTTGAGAATCCAATTTTTATACTTTCAAGCGCTGTATCAAAAATCGAGCAGGACCTTTTTTTCCTTTGTTTGTTGTGGCTTGGTAGAGTTCGTGGAGTTACCCCGAAAAGAGTCGATTTTAAAATTTTGTACGTCAATTTTAGCTAAAAAATGTCTAAATTCTGAAATTTTGAAAATAGGCAAAAAAAGAATAAACTTTTGAAAAATAAGCAAAATTTTTCGCTTTATTGCTTTTTTAATATTATAAGCAGGGTTGCCAACTCAACACCTCAGAAATCAGAAAAAATCAGAAAAGCATAGTGTCAAAAATCAGAAGACGTATTTTTTTGCCCAAAACACAGGAAAAACGGGTATATCTTAATTTTTTTTAAAACTGATCCTCATTTGCCTCTTTTTTTTCTTTGTCCCGGATGCTTTATAGAAGAAATTCAACTTCAACTGTATTTGGAGAAGACAATTATTGTATTTTTTACAGTTCATAAAACCATCTTGTCTAGCACTAATTAAAAAAGTTAAAAATCAGAAAATCAGAAAGCGATCAGAAAAAACCTCCATCAGAAAAATTCTGATAAATCAGAAGAGTTGGCAATCCTGATTGTAAGACTAGTTTTTCCTGAGTTTTCATAAAAAACTGAATATGAGATACCGAATGTAGTCGAATTTACACTTTAAATAATAAAAAAGTCTTAGAACACGAGCTGAAGCGTTGAAGTAAAGTTTTTTGGTTGACAGATCCTTGCAAAATTTTGGAAAAAGCCTGGTACTAAAGGCAAAATTCCGAAGAAAAATATTTTTTAACAAAAATAGCATCCGAGTCTTCGCTAGTGGCATGCATCATTAGAAACTATGACGAGATGTGCAGGTGCATGTAAATGTGGCTTCAGAATTGACAAAAAGAATCGAAATTGGCGAAAAGACTTTAAAGTGCAAAAACGACGCAGTTCCCGTACAAAAGAGTCGGATGAAACAGTAGTCGTTATACATGTCGTAAACAAATCTTTTAGAAAAATTATTTATCACATTAGTTTTCTTGTGAACAACTGGCAGAGTGCGCAGACACTGCTTAAATCATTCAATACAAAGTACGTAACGTAACACGAGGTCGCGGGAGGATTCTCGTGTCAATTTCATTCACCATTTTTGTGTACACAGGCTCAAAGCATATAATTTCTACTAATTTTGAAAAGTTTTCAAAGTTTTGTCGCATCTCAGCAATTACTCATCGTATAGACAATACAAGTCGGCAAATGTTAGCCTTGATCTTGACTTAATTGTTAACCTTGATCTTGAATTAACGTGGCATAAACCGATTCCTCTAGTTTTCCCATGTTCAATTTCCTATATAATTGCTTCATTGATTACTCAATTCGGGCAATGTTTACTGGAAAAGTTCTTGTTTAGGATTATTCTCGTTTATGTTATATCGTAAAACAGTGCCCTCTATTGAATGCAACTTTCATATTAAATTATTATCGAATTATTGAATTCTGACAGATCCTGCAGCTTCAAGAATAATGGATGACTCTGTTCAACATGGCTTATACATATCTTTGGCACAACTACATATCGAGCTCTATGCTACTCTCTTGTGATTAGCCTGTTAATGAAAGATATTTTCCTCCATTCATTTTTTTTGGTGTTATATTATTACGTAGTTTATATTGAATGATTGAAACAATATCTACATTCTGTCAGTTGTTCGCAAGAAAACTAGTGTGCGGTAAATAATTTTTCTAAAAGATTTACTTATGACTTGTATAAAGATTGCTGTTTGGGAAGCTGCCTCTTTTTTGCGTTTTATAGTCTTTTCGCCAAGCGGATTTCGATTCTTCTTGTAAATTCTGAAGCCAGCTTTTACATGCACATCTCGTCATAGTTTCTAATGATGCATGTCACCTGCGATTAGAACCAGTGTTTCTAATGAAAATTTTACACGAAGTGATTTTCTACAGTTGATCACTGCGTTTCCATAGTTTTCTTACTAAAAACACGAATTTTCAAAGTGGAAGGTCACTTCGTTCATGCTTGGATAATCAATCATTAGAATATGCGAGTGCAGTTAGAAATTCCAGTGGCATTTGATTTTTAGCCGAAAAAATGCATAGATAAACTGGATTGGGCCCTGGCTCAAAATTCTCATCAGAAACACTATATCTCATACCAGTTTGTAATTTGTTACTTTTCTTGTGTTTTTCTACTACGAGCTTTACTTTTTGCCTCTACCTTCGTTTATACTAATTGTCTTTCTGATTTTTATAAATTGGACTGGAAGAATGCAGAAAAATTGTCTTACTGTTACGTTTGTTAACAGTCTTTTCTGTTTGTTACTTCTTTACAATACTGTATACTTGATCCGCATTGTTCTGTTAATTTTATTGATAAACACTTTTGTCTCCATAACTGAGAAAAGAGCTAAATATTTTTATATTTATTTATAAAAATATACATTCATATATTTACAATTAATGCCACAGAATTTTTAAAAAGAGTATGAAAATAGAAGTCGTTTTACACACAAATATCGACAAACGTGTCACATATATTTTAAAATCATTCAGATAATGTCATTCATGTCATTTCTTTCATTTTAAAGTATGTGTAAAAGATAAAGAACAATAATTGTATGTACAGAAAAAAATTTGTTTAGAAAAATACAAAATATTACATAGAAGTATAATAAATCTTTCTGATCACCACCATCGATTATAATATCTGTTTTACTATATATTTACATAGAAGATATTTTTATATACAATTTTTGACTTTTTAATTGTCTATCGGTCTATTTTATTCAAATCTTAAAAAGTTTACTAAATGTGAACTAAGACCTAATTGATTCAAATTATGTTTTGATGGGATTTTAATTTGTTTTCGAATTAATTTTCTTGCATACTCACCTAATGTTAAAGTTTTTGATTGTAATTGTTGTAGTTGTGTTTTTAATTCAATAATTTGTTCATTTGGTTGTTCAAAATCTAACTGATGTAGAAAATATTTTTCAATTGTAAAAAATAATTTTGGTACACTATAAAGAGTATAGGCCAATTGTACAATTAAATAGAAATATTCACAAATTGTTAACGATGATTTTGTTTTGTATAATGTTAGATATGTCTCCGGCCATAATGTAATGGAATTCAACAAATGGAAGATAAAAACTGGAATATTAGGAATGGATGGACAGTTTTGACGTAATAATGTAACATAAAACAATGGACAATCATTTATTAATGGTAATGGAAAATAATCAAATTTTGTTGAATAAAATGTTGCACCATTGTCCATTAACTCTAGTAAAATGTCAACATCTATATCCAAATGGTTTAATTCAGCACGTTTAAATAATAAATCCAATATTGTTTCACCATAATGAAGTTCATTTATATTGGAATATATCTTATTATTGTTTGAGGTCGACGATATCTATTTATAAAATCAAATATAGTAAATTATGAATTTTTCGAGACATGAATGTTAATCTACTTACTTGATTATTATTTTCATTTAACCATCTTTTTATGAAAAATATTGTTGCATCATGTTGACCATGTTGACAAATAGTGTACATAAATGAACCTTTTGGATGATCAATTTTATCTGGTGAACATCCATTCTTAATTAATATTTCAACTATTTTTACCGAATTTTCATTTTGTGCTGTTGTTGCATAATTTAATATTGAGTGACCATTATTACACACAGAATATAAATCAACATGATATTTTTCAATTAAATATTCAACAACATTCAATTTTCCTTGCATACAAGCGACTCCTAATGGTGATAAACCACTCTCATTATCATTGTCATCTAATGAAAGTTTTTCATATGCACATAAATCAATAAATTCTACATTATAGTCATGTTCATTTGATGATAACAATATTCCACTATGAAGTGGTAAATAGCCATGTGCATCACGAACGTTCAATTTAGCACCACATGTCATAAGATATCGTGCTATATCAATTTCATTAGAAATAAATGCATAAAACATTGGTGTCTGTTGATATACATCGACACTATTTACATCAATATTTCCAATTTCAATCAGATATAATACTGTTTTAATGCATCCACTTGCACACGCTAAATGTAACGCAGTTCGTCTATCATTATCTACAACGGTGCAATCAACACCATTTTTCATTAATAGTCGAACGACGTCGGGTGCTTTTGAATTAGCAGCTAAAATTAGGGGCTTTACACCATCACCTGATGGCTGATTAAGAAGTTCTTTGCCATCTTTTGTTTGTAATAATGTTTTGGTAATATTAAATGCATTTGTTGGATGTACTACAGCCAAATGTAATGGAGTATCACCAACTTGATCGGTTATATTAATTTGTACATTCTTATTTATTAATAGATTGATTATGTCTAAATTTCCATTACTAATTGCATAATATAAACAATTGCGTTGTTGTTCATCTTTAACATTCAGGTTTATGTTTGGACATTTGAGTAGTATATCAACGAGTTCATAATTACCTATTTGACATGCTAAATGAATGCATTGGCGTGATTCTAAGTCTTTTTTTGTTAATGTAACCGTTTTATCTATCAAAATTTTAAAAAGATCGATTTGTTCTTGTAATATACATAACATAACTGGATCTTGTTGATGTTTATTTTGTTTTTCCAAATCAAATCCACCATTAACGATTAATAGTTGAAGAATAGTTGCACGTTGTTCAATATTTGTACATATACAAGCATGATGGATAGCTGTATTACCTTCTGAATCTTGCAAATTACGTTCTAAACCTTCTTGTTTCAATAAAAAGTTAATGCCATCAATAAAACTTTCGTCAATAGCTATCATCAAAGCTGATTGTTGATCAACATTTGTTTGATTCAACAGAGTGGGTTGGTGTTTCAACAACAACGCCATTAATTTTAGATTGTGACTAACACACGCATACATCAATAAATTATGACCTTGAATATCCTGGACATTTAAATCAACTGTCGGTCTAACAGATCTATAATAAATAACAAAAAAATAAATTAAAATAAACATTGATCTAAGTTTCTGTCAAGTTTGGGATCAAAATAAGTAAAAAATAACTTACGTGGTCTCGTTTTCATTTTTGGCCATTTTTATTAATAATTCGAGAAGATCACATTGTTGTATTTGTTCATCTTCATCTATTATTTTATTTGTGAACGATGGCATACAAAGAAAATGAATTGCTGTTCGTCCAAGTTCGTCTGCTACACACAATTGTGCACCATGCTTTATCAGCAACTCTACTAAAGGTGAATTTCTTGCCCAACAAGCATAATGAATTGGCATGATGTTCATTTTATCTTTACAATTCACTATTGCACCTCGTTCTAATAATTCTTTGGCCATTTGTGTTGTATGTGGTTCTCGAGAAGCCCAATGAAGAGGTGATGTCAGTTCAGTTGATATCATGTTGACACGAGCACCCGCATCTAATAATATTCGTTGTGTATGAGCATACAATCGAAATCGTTTTGGAAAATATTTGGACCATATGCAGACTAGTTGTAATGCCGTTAAATTACTAACTACTTCTGTCTTATGTGTTTTATTACTTGTATATAATATGGTAAATGGTTCATTAACATCATACCGTTTTTGTTTATCTTTCAGAAACATTGAACATACTGCACTAAAGCCATAGGCCGAGGCTTCATGAAAACCATTGTAACCTTTCGTAAATTTTTTAGTATGATAATATTGTACGTTTTTCTCTAACAAATAACGAACAAGATCGTAACTTTGTACATCATAGAAAAATCTCAGTATAGCATCCAATTTATCGCTAAAATTAACATCATTCAACAGACTTTCATATAGATCATCTAATTTTTTGTACGATCTTTGTTCCCATAATTCAACAAGATAAATTAAGTCAGGATATTGTTGAATACATTGAGCTAATAAAATAGATAATTGATTAGAAACGTAGAAAATATATCTGTTCTATATGTCTACTTACCATCGAGTACGTCTGAATCAGTTAATTTTCTCGAGAATTCGCATACTTCTTGTATATAATCGTCTTGATCATTTAATTTCCACAGATTATATATTAACGATAATTTATTCGTATCAAGTAACATCGTTATTGTCGTCGTTGTATTTAGTTTAACTTTTTAACGTAAACGTTTGTTTATTTATAGGCATAAACCTGATACGTAATCTTCATTATCATGTGATAGCGCGTGGATAACTATTAACGGCGTATAAAAATGCATTTTATATACAATAAGTTATCTTCTTGTTTGGATAAAAGCCAACTGATCAACTGCTTTGATCACATTGTACCGTTTTATCTATCGATATTGCGACATTTTTTTAATAATTGATACGCAATCTGTATCATCAAGAGACATACAATGTCACGCTTTTTTATCCATGATGTTACCTTTCTGTTTTTCTGAAATGTACAAAAGGAAGCGAAAGTGAGAAAAAATGTACTCTCATTCATTTCTCTTCTTTCGTTTTTTAGTATCCAAAATTTTGAACATGATAGAAAATTGCAATATTATATTTTTTGAGTGCAAACAGTATAAATGTAAAGTAGAAGATTATCGTCTAGATAAATCTTGTTCTCTTGATTACATCAAGTTAGTTAGTTATACCCATTACCGTCAACGGTGTAGGGTGAGAATCTAAACAAAATAATAAAAATACACAAAAAAACAAAACTGACAGTGCTTTATTTGACGAATGTTCTGTTGGTCACTACTGGAATTGAAGCTAAGTTTTCCATCAGGATACCACCCTCTGAGATCAGTTTAAACGGTAACCGTCATTCTCACAAAGTTCAAATTTCAATAGGTGCATAACACTCATTATTAGCTGTTCCGTTACTTCATTCATTTGATTTTGTTTTTTATACACCAATCTTTTGCACAAGATTTTACGTGCTTC